CCCCCCCCCCCCCGGGGTCCTGGTCACTTCGCACCTGCCTCCCGCCACTATCACAAATAGCAACTCAACCAGCAAATGGGGGGAGGGTTGAAAACAGCGTTCAAATGGCAGCAAGACAGTGTGCATCGTGTTCTCAAGCTGCTGAGCGTGGGCAGACACCTATCCACGCAGAACCGCTGGTGCGAAAAGGGTGTGCGCTGAGACTCTGTCATGTTCCAAGTCCAGCTTTCTCGTGTGTGTGTGTGTGTGTGTGTGTGTGTGTGTGTGTGTGTGCGCTGCGCGTGCGCACTTGAATGTGTATTCACATCCATGTGTGCAGGCCACGAGAATGCGTGCCATGAGGCCTGAGGTCAACCTCACTCGTCATTCCTCAGCTGCTGCCTCCCTTGCTCTCTGAGACAAGGTCTCTTACTCTCCAGCTGACCGGTCAGTGAGGCCCAGGGCTCCGTTGTGTCCACCTCCCCGTGCAGGGTCACGAGCATGGGCCTCCCCTCGGGGCTTGGCACGGGTTCTGGGGAGAGAAACACTTCCCCAACTGACGCGCCTCCCCTGCCCCATAACCAAAGTGTAACAGGGCGCCCCACGTGCGGTCCCTGTCAGGCCGCTCCCAGCAAACACAGAGCTTGCGACGGTGCTGGAATCATGGCCTGTGGAGCAACAGGCCTACCCGAGCCCCGAAGTGGGTCCACCCCAAGCCCTGCAGCCCAAGTCCAAGACACAGCCCCTGAGAGCAGGCCGTATCAGAGCAGTGCCCACGGGAACCATGCTGCCCTGTCCAGACCTAAACTCCTGCCAGGGTGCTGGAGACCACCTAGGGTGTCACCGAACCTCCCTGTTCCTTCTCCCAAAGGAGTAAATCTCCTGCCTCTACATCTCCACACTGCTTGTCTGCTAACTGGCCTGTTGGAGACGGTGCCTGCTCCAGGCTTGTTCCAGCTGCAGCTCTAGCCCCCCACTCTGAGCCTGGTAACTCTGGTGACATTACTGCCAGGTGTGTGTGTGCATGTGCGTTGCTAAGCCTTGAGCCTGAGCCTCACACATGCTAGGCAAGTCTCCACCACTGAACTCCCTCTCCATCCTAACTTAACTCTCAGGCTTGCTTAGAGTCGCCATGTAGACCAGGCCCTCGCAGCCCCCACCTCAGCCTCCCAGGTAGCTGGATGACCTTCACATGGCAACCAAGGACTGAACGTGAGCGCCTTGGTGGGTACCTGATACGGCCAGCATCTTGGCTTCCAGCAGGGTGGGCAGCCTGGTGTCCAGCTCACCCAGCCTCCTCCTCACAGAGCTGCACAGTCTCTCAGCAGAGCACACCTGCAAGGAGAAATGGCAGGAATCCATGTCTATCAAGCAGGAGACAGAGGGACTGGGGATGAGGGGTCTGGGTTCCTGAGTAACCGAGTAGATTGATAGAGAGTAAGCAGAAGGGGAAACTTTAGGAAGGAATGGGTTAGAAGGAAGAGGGAGACAAGAGGGAAGAAGAGGGGAGGGGAGAGGAAAAAAGGAGAGGGAGGGAAGGTGAAAGGAGGGGGAAAGAGGAGGTAGGAAGGGAGGGGAGGAGAGGAGAGGAAGAAATGAGAAAGGAGGAGGAGAGGGGAGGAAGAGGTGAGAAAGGAGGAGAGGGGCATGGCATGACCTCAGCCCAGGCCTGGCCCGCACAGGCCGATCTGAGCTCACAGAGCAGCCACATCCAGAGAGAAACATTCTTGCTGTCTGCCTCTGCCTTGGCATTCAGCTTCTGCCCGAGCCCTCCAGCCTGGTTGTTTGTGGCATGGCACCCCTGGGGGAAAGGCCTTGCTGGTTTTCTGTTCCTCCCCATCACCCCAGTCTTCTCCAGCTTCCTCTCCAGTGGACAGTTTCTATCCCTCTGTCCTGTCCTCATCTCTCTAGACACCTGCTGTCCATGAGCAGGGACTCTGTCCCTAGCACACAGTGGGTAACTAAGATGTGGCTTTGACATCAAGGTCAGAAGAACCAGCTAAATGTCCTTGCTAGAAGACTCTAGAGAAACCAAGAGGGTAGAGACTTGCTGGAAAATCCAGTTGAAAGATGGGCAAGTCGGGGTCGGGAAGACCTGTGGGTGTCAAGTCCCCTCAACTCCACACTCACCTGAAACAATAAAACTCCAACCTCAGTCTCACCCCCCAGATTCCTTTAGGTTGTATTGAGACATCCCACTTTTTCTTTTATTCAAGATTAAAAGCTCATATTTACCTGTTACCTATACTCTGATTAGCGATATACCTATATTTTCAGCTCATCGAAAGCACACAGCACAGTTTCTGTAGTGGGCATTTTGGGAAAGTCCGAAAAGGATATAACTCCAAAGAATTATTGTTTGTTTGTTTACTTATTCGATTATTTATTTATCCCATTCAGAAACTGGAATTAGCGCTCGCGTGCAATCTGCCTCTCCAGGGACGCTGTCAGCTGTACACACCTGGCTCATCCGAGAACAGGAGCTGCAGTCAGAACCCAGGCAGACCTCACCCAGTCCTGAAACACCCACCCTTTCCTCACAGGCTGCTGCAGTCAATCTGTTCTCTGCGTCCGGGATTTCCCAGCCTCCTTTGGTGAACCCACCGCCCAGCCGGCCGGCCTTTGCACTGGAGCCCGCACACATCCTGTCATTCATCTCGAGGCTCTCCTGGGCACCCTGAGACCTGTCGGGACGTCAGAGCCAAGGCCCGAAAGGAAGGTGTCCAGGCCACCTTCCCCTGGCCCTGCCTCAGTTGGCCCAGCGCTCCATGGCATGCCCACTCCTCTGGCTACAACTGTCACCTGGGGAATTCAAGGACTGGCTGGTTAATTCTGGGACAGTAGCCGGAGTTCTCGGGCCTCGTGTAATCCATGTCTCACATTTCTGATTTTAGTTACCAGCGTCTCTTAATCATAATCAGGTCAGACTCTCATTCACTGAGAAAGCCCATCATTCGAGCTATGCTATTAATATGAAACCGCCTTTCTACATTTTCTGATTAAATTGCACACTCTTTCCGTCTCTGCTGGATATAACATAATATCTACCAGCCTCAAGATATCCCAATTATTTCTAACTATTTCCATCTCATTTATCCCTTAATTACCTTTGGTTTGAGTAACCCATGAGAGTCAAGAAATGTAATGAGAGTAAGGAAGGTTGCAACGCACTCTGAAAATATCAGGGGTTGAGTGTGTGTGTAAGCACACTAAAGAAAGGAACCTGCCTTGAGCTGGTGGCTCACGGTCACTTAGCAGTGTACAGGGGTTGGGGTTAGGGGTTGGGGTCAGGGGCAAGGTTAGATTTCCCACACGGCCTCCCATGCTCACAGACATGTGCTGGACTACATATACCCACCCCGGAAAAATCTGCATGCCATCCTTATTTACAAAGAAAATTAGCCCCTGAGGAACTCATTAATGAATAGAAGTTTTACATTTGCATTTTAAAATCTAAGGCACGGCTCCTTAATTTGATAGAAAAGTGAGGTCATTATATGTTGACTATAAATATATTAGTGATGGGATCTGCAACGGCGTGGATGCTTGTGCCCTAAAATTTTCCTATGCTGAAATCTTCAGCCCCGGTGTGATGCTGGCGTTAGAAGGCGGGGCTCTGGGGAGTAACAGGTCCTGAAGGTAGAATAGCGTGAAAACATCGGCACTCCCGGGGATGGTGGCCCAGTCAGTAAAGGTGGTTGATTTACGAATGTGGGCACCCGAGCTGGGTCCACAGAACCCACCTAAGAAGCTGCACCTTGTGCACAAACGTGTAATCCTAGAGCCAGAGAAGTGGAAACCAGAGGGTCCCTGGAGCTTGCTGGCAGCCAGTGTGGCCTAACTGTGAGCTCCAGGCCCATGAGAAAGCCTCTCAAAGAGGTGCATGGCATTCCTGAGCGTAACACCCAGGAGCAAGCGTGTGCACACACAGTAACGATGACAATAGCAGTAGTAATATTAATAATATAATAATGGCCAGGCAGTAGCCGCATACATCTTTAACCCCAGCACTCATGAGGAAGAGATAGGCAGATGTCTGTGTGTTCAAGGTCAGCCTGATCTACAGAGTGAGTTCCAAGACAGCCAGGGCTACACAGAGAAATCGTGTCTCAAAATAAAATAAAATAAACAAACAAACAGATAAATTTAATAATAATAGTAATGAGACCTAAAAGAGCCCTCCTGTTCTCTTTCCCTCTCTCCATCATGCAAGGAGACAGCGTGGGTGGTGCCATCTGTGCCTCAGATCAGATCTGCTCCGAACCTGGCCATCCTGGCACCTGGCCCGCAGCCCTCCAGCCCCGACAGCTGCCCAGCCTCCGTGCTTTGCAATCTAAGCACAAACAGACAGAGAGCCCTTCCAGCATTTAGGAAAACATAGCGACCTCAAGGCCTCTGGCCCTGGTCCTTCCAGCCCACCTCTGAGCCGGGCAAAACAAGAAACGCATCCCATTGCTCTCACCTGGATGAGCAACCCAGAGAGCTCACGGTAGATGCCAGGCATTCCTGAGCCCACTGACATCTTAGAGACATCACTGGTCGCTGATAGGAATCCACCTAACCCCTAACCATGTGGCCAGAACTGTCAGTTTTGGAAATAAGTAAGGAATGAAAGGAGAAAAAGAGAGGATGTAGGAGGCCGGCCCTTGAGATCTGGGTCCAGCTATCCTGCTTGTGCAAACCTACCTGATTGGCTGATTAAAGGTCCATACATGGGCAGGGCAGAACAGGGTAGGTGTGGCTAAGGTTCCTGAGCTTTTGAGGACAGGAGACTCAAGAGAAGCAGACAGACAGAGAAGGTAGGAGGTCGCCAGGATGGGTTAGGTGGAGAAGGAACCACATAGGTGACAAGGAAGGACTCTGAGGATGGCATGGATGGGAAAAACACCAAGATGAAAAATGCAAGCAAGTATATTGGGATTATGGATGGAAGGTAGGCCAGTTGAGGAGGATGAAGGTGGATGGCATTGGATGGGGGCTGGGAGATGATGGTGAGGATATTAAGGCATCATAGGTGAAATATCTGCCTGGCCCAAGGTAAATAAGGCAATTATAAAATCTAGCAGGTGTCTGTGTCTTATTATTGTGATAGCAGGTTAAATAATACCACCATGATAACCTTAGGGCTAATAATAATAAACATATTATAACCAAACAGTGCTTTTTAATTACTACAAGAGGAGAGAAAAGGCAAACAAGAAGAGGGGAAAACACACAACCTTACTAACAACTCATGGCAGCCTCGGCAGAAGTGCAGAAAAAGACACTCAGCATGCTTCCCAGCAAGGGCCCAAGCTTTGCCTTCTTCTCTGAGTGTGTGCATGCATGTGTGAGTCTGTGTGTATGTTCATGTGTCTGTGTGCATGTGTGTAGAGGCCAGAGGTCTATTTTGGGTGTCTTCCTCAGTTGCTGTCCACATTTTTCTGACAGTGCCGCTCACTGAACCCCGATTTCAGCGTTTCCACTAGGCTGGCGGCCAGCACGCCTCAGGGATCCTCTGCCCGCCTCCCCAGAGCAGGGAGTGTGCCACAGCTGAGGGCCCCACAGTCCTCCCTTCTCTGGTCCTCAAGCTAACTCCTCCCAGGTCAGAGGCTTTGCTCAGGAACCATTGCTCTGCATTCTCAGCTGGCATGGACCCTCCAGCTCCCCGGGACGGTACGCTCATGTCAAGGTGTCCATCAGAGAGCCTCAGGGCAGCTCCCAGGACACCAGGCGTGAACCGCTGAATCTGACAGCCAGGACACAGGCGGTGGCATCAGCCGACTCCACCTGGGGAGCACCAAGGTGCTTCACATGAGGGGACCCTGCTGTGAAGGCGCAGACAGCGTGGTGGTTAATATTTACTGGGGTGCTTGTCTGTGGAGACGGGGTCTCAGCATGTGGCCTTCAACTGCATGGCACTCACTCTGGAGACCGGAGATCTGCTTGTCTCTGCCTCCCGAGTACTGGGAGTAAAGGGGTGTGCCCCCGAGCCTGGCTAAGAGTGATGTTAACCTGTCAGGACCTAGAATCACCTAGGAGACCATCTCTGAACACGTCTTCATGCCTGGGCTAAAGATTCGGGAGACCCACCCTGAATGTGGGCCCCGAGCCTCCATGAGCTGGGTCCTGGACCGCGTGAAGGAAGGCGAGCTGAGCTCCAGCACCTCCCTCCCTGCCTCCCTGTGTGGACGCCATGTGACCAGCACCCAAGCCCCTGCAGCCCTGTCTCCCCACCGGGACACCCTGCCGTTACACTGCAAACCAAACCTCGCTTCTTGCGTTAAGCTGCTTTTGTCTAGTATTTCATCACAGGGTGAGAAAAGTAACTCATACAGACGACAGATAATATTAGCAAGATGATCTGAAGAACTTAAAAGCAAAGCAACCCCTCCAGCCGCTAAACCAGTTTCGTTTCTGAGAAGCCTAAGCTGGAGCTCCAGGAGAAGCACAGCGCTTCCACCCCCAAACTCCTGTTTGTTCACTCATTTGTTCGTGACAGCAGCTTGTTGTACAGCTCAGGCTGGCCTTGAACCCTTGATCCTCCCACCTCTGCGCTGGGATACTGAGCTGTGAGCCTCTGTGGCAGCTCTAAGAGCCTTTTTAAACAAAGGCTCTCAACACAACCAGTACCACCCCTTCCCAGACTCCGGACCAAACCCTCTGAATGCAAGGCCCACCAGACTGGCATGGAGGCAGCAGCTTCCCCCACCCCCATCGGCTCCCATCCTCTGCCACAGCCTGGGGAACAGCTCCACCAAGCCTGCTTCCTCTAAAGCCCCTGGTGACACGGATGTGCAACTGGGTCGGAAGGAAATGGGGGAGGGCGGGCTTACCTGAGCAGTGATCTCCCGAGCAGCCAGGCTCAGTGACTTTGTCCGCTCCCGGAGGCTGGAAGAAGCAGAACAGAGCATTGGTCTTCTCGGTACCAAGGTGGACCTCCCATCACCCACAGAGCTGAGGAGGAGCAGGAAGCAGGTGACACCTGGCTGGGCTGACACACAGCTGGGAAGCAGATCTACTAACTGCTCTTCCAGAGGATTAACTGCTCTACTAACTGCTCTTCCAGAGGACCGGAGCTCAATTCCCAGCACCCACAAGGCAGCTCACCCTCATGTCTGTAAGTCCTCGGCCAGGGGATCCGACATCCTCACACAGATATACATGCAGTCAAAACACCAATGTACATAAAATAAATAAATTCTTTTTTTCTGTTCTCAGGGGCTGGGGACATGGCTCCAACAGTATACGGATTGCCACAGAAGCATGAGGGCCTGAGTTCAGTCCCAGAACGCACATGAATAAGCGGGCACAGCGGTACACACCTGTACCCTGCACTGGGGCTGTGAAGACAGGCGGATCCCTGCGGCCCACTACCGACCAGCCTAGCCTGCCTGGTGAGTTCCGCGCCTGTGACAAACACGGGCGAGCCAGGCACAGCAGCACACATTTAATCCCAGCCCTTTGGAGGCAGAGGCAGTCGGATCTCTGTGGGTTTAAAACCAGCCTGGTCTACACAGAGGACATCATGCCAGCCTGCGAAAACACAGTCTGTCTTCATTCCCAGAACAGAAAGCCCAGAGCCCTGCAACCTACAGGAGTGGGCCACACTGGCAGGGAAAGGCTGGCATCTGAGTGGCATGTCAACGAGTCCAGACGTAATGCCAGCACACCTGTGCCCAGCCTCAGTGAAAGCAACACACACACACACACACACACACACACACACACACACACACACACGGCACACTTCTCAAGCTGCGTAAGGCAGCCGGCGGTCCTTCTCCCAGGAGTGTCCAGCCTGAGGTCCAGCAGGGTAGTGATGATCGTCCCGATGCGTACCATCCAGTTATTTAAAACATTACGGGATAGTCTTCGGAGTCTGTTGCATGAACCCCATAGATAACCACATCTGCCACAAGGTCAAAGGCTGGACAGCGGCTGTGTGTCTCCGCTACGCCTTCTTTTTCCATACTTCTCCTCACGTACTGTTTTCTTCAGGCAATGCCTCCCTAAATCTCGGCAGGACATCATTTCCATGTGGGCAGTATCCGTCTGCTGGGTCGCTCCCTCAGGAGAAGGGCTCAGAAGCACCCTTGGCAGGCAAACCTGTGTGTGTGTGTGTGTGTGTGTGTGTGTGTGTGTGTGTGTGTGTGTGTGTGTGTATTATTAAGAAAATGCCCCGAAGGACTGGCTACAGCCTGATCTTATGGAGGCATTTCCTCAATTGCGGCCACCTCCTCTCCAGCAACTCCAGCTTGTGACAGGTAGCAGAGGGGGGGGGCAATGAGTAAGGCCACCCTTACTCCAGACTCCAGAGATGAGTAGGAAGAGGATCAAGTCTACAGGAAGATGTGCCAGGATTTGTTTGACCTCAGCAGTGGACAGGTGACTGCCAGTCGTGTTTAGGACATTTATGGCTATTTATGTTTAGAATGTCTATGGTGGACTATGAAGCTGTGGCTGGTATGACGCTCCAAGCTAAGGTGCTTCCAGCTTCTGCAACAGGAACTCATTTGGCTTTTGCACAGGGCTTTTAGGTTCAGTGGCGTGACGCTCCGAGACTGCTTGGAGGATGGAAGTCTGAATATGACGACATCAGGCAGGTGCCATTGGAAGATGCTGTGGTATCCGGGTGCCGGCAGAGAGCTGTGGATCACAAGGGAAGGAAGAGGCCTCGGGGAGTAGGCACGCCGAGGGAGTGAGAACATCCTGCCCAGAGCCCACCGCTCATGCGCTTGTGCCCCGTTCACTCTTCCGACACCTCGGAGCAGCCGGACATCCAGAAGCCAGAGTTCAAGACACAACTCCTACTCTCAACCGCTCTCAGCTGCTGGGAGGGCAAGACAGTGTGACAGATGCAAGGAGCGTGCTCAGTCCACACAGGGTGGCCTGCAGGAGGGCAGGGTCCTGGTTCCACGTGTGTGCCGGGTGGGGAGGCCCAGAAAAATCTTCCACAGTGGGGAAGCCAAGTATCATTAACAGGTAAGCTAGCATCAGTAGAGGCGTGGCGGGCTTCTTCTCCAGTGATGAGAACCGCTGGGGGAGGTTAGCGTCTTCACATGTGTGATTTCTGGAGCCTAGCCCAGCTGGGGTTGCACGCTCCCGGAGACTGGTGTGCACACCTGCCGGTCATTCCTGCTTTAACTCACACCAGAGGGAGGGCCGCTGGTGGGGGTGAAATCAACCCAGATAGTGCGCATAGATGGGCGTGAGGCACGTGGCAACAGCCTCCCCTGAGTGAGGCAGGAGTCATCATGCAGCAAAAGTGGGTGCAGACAGGCCCAGGGGGAGCCTGGAGCATTCCGGACCTCAGCTAGATGGAGACACTGTGAGGGAAGGTGAGCCTGGTTCTCAGCTTATGGGGACAGCAAGACAGGACAGACCACTGGGTGCTGGAGAGAGGGGCAGAACAGTTTTGTCTTTTCTGCAGGGTTTCAACTACGTCAGGCCAGCCTTGAGCTCACAGTATGGCTCAGGGTGGCCTTGCAATCCTGATCCTGGGTGCTGGGATTACAAGAGAGCACCACAACGCTCGACTTTTGTGGTGCCGGGGTCAGACGTGGGGCTTGCTGCATAAGTACAGGCACCCCACCAACCGAACTGCACCCCAGCCAGCAGCTCACACCCTCACGCACACCCTCACACTCTCTTAGTCAGTGGAGCCCCATCTAACAGAACCTTTGAGCATTTACCAGCACAATATAAGAGTTCCCGAACACTTGAGAAACTAGCTCATGGAGTTACATATTGAAACGGACCGCAGGCTTTCTTCCCGACTCTAAAAGTGAGCGGCCTCAAGGAGGGCACCTTTGCCAAATGTCCCACAGCCCCAGTGAAAAGCAGGCCAGGCGCCATCTTTCCAGGGGTGGACTCAGGTCATCGCTCCGAGCCCTGACCTGCCTCTAACCTAGAAGGAGATGAGCTTCACCTCCAATATCTGCATGAACGGAGGAGGCAGTGATGCGGGTAATTGAGCGCATTGTTTTATATCTGGTCTGATTTATATTTAATTTATTTAATTTATGCTATGTTACTTTTTTCAGTAGATTTATTTTCCTAATTATGTGTTGCTCAGGCTAATATTAACATTATATTTGTATCCCCAGGGGATACTAGGAATGGAAGCGGGGGGGGGGGTGTGTGTGGAGGGGGAGCTGTGACTCATTCATGTGTGTCACACTAGCAGTTCTCAAGCTAGACACCAGAGGAGCCGGGCTGAGCGGAGCATCTGAAGCTCCGTGAGTCACCTGAGTCACCTTAACTCCACCCACACGTGACGCTGGGAGCCACCCTGTGGCCCAGGAGCAGGCGCCCCTGCTGAGGCTGCCCCGGCCAGGTGAGCTTGAACAAAGCCTGCCCCTCTGCCCCGCTGACACTGAATACGGATCCCCACGGACGGGAACTGCCCCATCAGAGCGGGTGCGGTGACCCCAGCACCTGGAAGGGGAGGAAGAGGGACCACGAGTTCAAGATTACCCTTGGCATCACAGCACATCTGAGGCCTGCCCGGGCCACATGAGATCTTCTCTCACTCAAGGAACCGTGAACTTCCCCGTCAGACAGGATGCCTCAGGGGCTCAGGAGCTCCTCGCCCAGAGCCCTCTCCTGTGCAGAAAGTATGTCTTCACTCACAGCAGCTGAGCCGGAGACAACAGCCACAGGCTGGCTGGCGAGAGGCCTGAGCATCTCCCCACATACTCAGCATGCTACTGAAGCGCTTGCCACACGAGTGTGTGAACCCGGGTTTAGCTCGCAGAACCAGGTGTTTACAAACCGGGGCTGGAGAGAGGGCTCTCTGGAGGACCCCGGTTCGATTCCCAGCATTGCTTGGCAGCTCACAGTGGTCAGTAACTCCAGATCCAGGGGCTCTGGCGCCGCCCTCTCTGCCCCCGTGGGCATGTATGTATGTTGTACTTTAAACACACATAAAGTCAGAACACCTATACCCCTAGAGTAAAATAAAACTAAAATGAGATTTTTTCTTTAAGCCAGGTGTGGTAGTACATGCTGCAGGTTCAGTGAGGGGCCTTGGCTCACAAAACAAGGTGGATGGCTACTGTGGAAAACACATGAGATTGACCTCTGACCTCCGCATGCGAGCAAGTGCGCACACACACACACACACACACACCTGTACAGACACAAGCATACACACATGAAGAAGAAAGAGGGAAGAGGGGGAGAGAAGAAAAGGGAAGGCAGAACGTGAGGGGGAGAGAGGGGCAGGAGGGCAGGCAGCAGGCCCAGAGGAACCCATGCAAACCAGAGGCCTCCAACACCGAGGTCCTCCAGGCTGCTATGAGACCCGCCGGGCCCTCCCACCGCTGCTGGAGCACAAGTGAATGCATACACACGGAACCATGAAGATTAACCTTGGCTGCAATTCAGAATCTGCACACTGATTTGCCCAGGGAGAAAAGAGAAGGGAAGAAAGGGAGGGAGAGAGAGAAGGAGAAAAGGAGGAGGAAGAGACAAGGAAGTCAGGAGGAAGGAATAAGAAAGGGAAGGAGGGGAGAGTTGTGTTTCAGTGCAGAGGTTCTACCACACACACAGCACACACCCCACACACACCCATCATACACACCCCACACACACACCCAGCACACACCCCCAGCACACCCCACACACCCAGCACACACCACACACCACACACACCACACACACCATACACACCACATACACACCCCACACACACCCCACACACACCCCACACACACCCCACACACACCCCACACACACCCCACACACCACACACCACACACCCCACACACACCACACACACCCCACACACCACACACACACACCCAGCACACCCCACACGCCCAGCACACCCCACACGCCC